ACATAAGCATGGCTAACTTGTGAAAAATGATTCTGTTTGACGCGAGAGCTAATCTAACGAGGCGTGTAAATGGAAGGCCTATTTGCTTTGTGGGAGAGAAGTAACAATCGAAGATGCGCTAAAGTTCGTATGCTAATCTAATGTTGTACCTTGGCATGACTCTCCGTTCCCAGTATATCCCTCCTTACAGGTACAAAAGTGAGAGCCTTTGTTATTGGTGCAGTTTGCATCCTCATCACAAACATGGTCTCCACTGCTACATTCATCGATATCTAGAAGTACACGTGATTTAAAAAAAAGGCAATTAAATTAAAAGAAAACATCAAGTAGAAAGAAGAAAAATTGGGCTCAAATATGACTGAATTGATCGTATTGATGTCACAAACCTCTTTATCATCGCTTCACTCAAAAATATCTGCATAACTTAGCGTTATACTTGTTTTATCGTTATGTCAAGTGCTTGACATAACCTTAATATATCGTTGCATTCATCAATTACGTCAAGACTATAAATTGTACTTTACTGCTGCACTCAAGATTATGAGGAGACCTCGCATTAAGGTGAGCTAAAACAGGTAATGGAAAACACATTCATATTCATCTTGGATAATGAAAATGAAATGTACCTGAACATGAATGTCCATCGCCAGTGTATCCCGCTTTTCACGTGCATTTGTAAGAACGGTACGTGTTAGTGCAGTTTGCATTCATCCATATTAAAAAAAATTTAAAATGAAGGCAATGGCTAAGACAAAACGAGGTGAGAAGGGTATCCACGCTAGAACTGATACTAACCAAACAGATAGTGGTGATGAAAATAAAATTTATATTAATGTAATTTTGTGGTAAAAATAACTCGTAAAGAAAATGATAAGACCTACCCCGCTAGCCATATCACAGTTCATCAATATTGCCTTCCCAGTGCCTGTTGGATCCAGCCAATACTTGCTGCTGATTGTGTTGTTATCTTCACTTGCCTTTATTTCGAGGCAGGACATCGCCGATAATTCAGGAATAGAATCCAAAGGAGCTGCAGTGAAAATATAAGTTTTGTTTTCTTCCTATTTTTATTTCTTAGTCATAAGTGAGAGGGAACAAGGTTGGCTGAGTGTGGAGAAAATCTAGAGAAAAAACAAAAACAGCGAGGTACATAGACTTTTGATTTCTTACTGCTGCCGTTCAATCGCCTGCTTGGTGCGGTTATTTAGTTCAAATATATGGTATTTTCTATTGTAGTTATAGCTTTGACACGTATTCCCATGTCCACATTTGACATCGCAGAGGTGAGGAGCCGCCACTGACCATCTTTTGAAGACAAAGCGTTTGAGAGCCATTTCTTGTATGTTTACTTCCGTCCTACATTGTTCTTTAGCTGTGATAGACTTTATAGTAGAGGCGAAGAAGAGGGATATCGAATACATGCTTCTTAGTTTGCACAGGGTCTGCAAATATTAAAAATAGAACGCCACTAGCAGATGTCATATTCCCGGAAAAAGAAAACCAAATTTTAATTTCTCTCAAAAAGTCTGGCTGCGTGCCAGATGAAGACATAACAATCCCAATACATGCACTTCCATATGTTGCCTGAAAATGAGCAAAAACTAAAAAACTGGCTAACTCAAATTTAGATACTGATGTTGTACTCACATTTGGAAGTGTTTTTTCTAGGCTTTATTTTACTAATTAGCTCGGTGACAAAAGGAGAAATCGATCCAAACATAAGAGTAAACTTTTAACAAATAATCACCCTTCAAGTTTTCAGAAACCCATTTACCATTTAAAAGAATTTCTTGTCCGATTGCAACAAATTCAACATTTTTGACCGGCTCAAATTTTAGCCACGGTGGCTGTATGGTTAACACGTAAAGAAATAATCATGCAGAGGTTTAGATAGTATAAAAAGAAAAAATAAGAAAACTAAGTATTAAAACTGATTATGTGGTCCATTTAAGCAACTTTGCCGTCAACAATTCAGTAAACGCTAATTCGAGAGTCGAGAAAAACTTGAACTTATATTATAAAGCCCGAGGATTCAGAAATATATTTAGGAGATGCGGGTAAACGGAGATTCTTAAGGAATTGAAATGTTCCTGACAGTGCATCAACTATATTCGTCTCTTATCCCTTAAGATGCAAAAGTTCTCTAGCGCCTAACTTCTACTGTGTCAATGATGCTCTATTTTATCCTCTTATCACAGTATTTTCACCTTAATCTGTTGCCTGAAAATTTGCGAAAACACACCCTCATCAACAGTGCGAGTATACAGTTTATAATGCTTTAAAGAAAAATTTTACACCTCTACGTTGCGTTAGATTATCTTAGTTTTTAATAGCTGTAAAGAAAGATAAAAGCGCAGATGGCTTTGCCAAATTGGCTGACTCCAATTTTAATGCTGTTGTTCTATACACATTTGGAAGTTCAGTTCAGTGACCAAAAGGGGAAAATGGATCAAAACATAACGCTCGCCCTAAGACAAATAATCACCCCTCAATCGTTCAAAAACGTATTTATCACTTAAAGGAATTTCTTTGGCGATTGCGACAAATTAAAAAATTTTGCCTGTTTTTGAGGTAAAGGGAGAAATATACATCTTACTGGTGCCATAATATTAAGTATCTCATGTATAATCATCCAGAGGTTTAGAGAGAATAAACAAAGCGGTAAGAAAAGTAAATATTAAAACTGGTTATGTGGGCTGTTTAAAAGAAGCATTACCGTAAAAATATTTCCTGAACCCTCTTTCCAGAGTGAAGAACCCCATGTAGTTATAGGAAGCAGAAATACGTTAAGGAGATGCAGGCAAATGTAGATTCTTAATTTAAGGAATAGAAATTGGCTTCAAGGCATAATAATAGTTAACACTAAAAAAAAACTTCCTTGTTCCTGTTTGGGCTCCTTGTTGTGGAAGGTGAGCTGAGAGGATAATATTAAGAAAAATATTCAACAAAATACGTACCAGGTATTATGTAACATTATTCTTCCCTTCGCAAAACCGCTGGAAAATAATGTAAATTTCGACTAAACGGTCTAAATTAGCCTTTTTTTAATAATATATTCCTTAAGTCTTTCCACGATCCAGTGTTCAACCAAGGATGTATTATCAACGATAGGACTAACATCATATTTGGCTACGGACAATCATAATTTAGCCTTGAGGAACGTTGTATAGTTTTTGACTCTAAACTTCCTCAGTCATCGAAGAAGACATTAGCTATTATTAATGATTTTCATGGTATCCATTTTTCAAAGTAAACAAACGTAAATTGATAATTTTTTTGACTTTACGTCAGTAGGTGTTTTCAGTATGATTTTTGCGCATTCTTGACCAAATAAACAATGTATATAAATCCTTGCCCACTTCGTTTTAGTTGACAGACATGACAGGTACTAAAAGGTTTTCATGACTTTTATTTGAACACAAAACGTTGGTAATAATAGAAGCCCGTTTTTAATTTTTTCTGGGTCACTCTTTCGTCCGCGCAAGGAGCTTAAAATTTTAAAATTGCTTGTAACGTAGTTAAACCTTCACAAAGTCTGACTTACGACTGAAATTTGGCACAACAATTGTGAAAAAGAGTATTATTTGAATTGAATAAATATACAGAGGAAGAATTCCCAGTGTGATTCAAATCTCTAGTTACTGAGTGCAATCAAGTTAAAATGGTTTTTATTTCCATGTGCTGGTGGTTTAATTTTTTAAATTATTAACCTCTCAAACAAACTTTTACTGCTTATGCACGAACGAGCTTTGCTTAACAGTCGTTTTCCTCTTGTTTGGTTTCTAAGACTGAGTAAAATGTACGAATGTATATCTTCATACTTCTCTGCCTGACATAAACTAATAGCCGAAAGAGGAGTTCACGTAAGTTAATGACGCGGCAAATATTGAAGTTTTTTCTTTTTTCAAATGAAATGTTTTTGAAAAGCGCATTAGTTCCTTATCATTGCAGGTTGTTGGCAAATTATTTCTGTTAATTCAGTGAAAACAAATCTGCGGTTTCTCCGAAGGTTCGCTACCACGGCTCTATACCTTGTCTTAAAATTAGACATGACAGATACTACAAGCTTTTGATGAACATCATTAAAAACAAAACGTGTAATCCTTTACAGTCTCGCTTTCCTTTTTTCCCGGGTTCCTAGTTTCTTTTGTGGAGGTTGCTCAAAATTTTCAAAATCGTCTAAATTCGACATACAGTGTTGCTATGTTTAGTGGACTGGCCGTAACATTTACTTTCGTGTTCCTGTTAAGACACTCAACTGAGACTGGTCCATTTACATGCAAGGCTAAATAAATGTGTTTATTGGGAATTTACACCATTTTTGTTAAATAATAAGATGATGCCCGTCTATTTACACCACTCAAGAAGCTGAGCCACAAAGTGATCCAGCTCATATCACTCTTCTTTGTAAAGAACACCAACGATTTTTCGATATTTTGATATGTTGCCAGTTTTTTTACCCATTTGCTGAGTTTTCAGGTCTCTCCTTGTAAAGGCGAGACAAATGAACATCAAACGAATAGAAGACTAACCAGTTATAGAATAGTGAAATATCAAGCAGTGGCAGTGGTTTTTCTGCCGGGGTTTTCTTTCCTTGTCCTTATTCGCTCTTGATAATGGATTTGCTGTATATTTTTATATCTATGGCTCATTCCTACTACTTTACCAGGACAATAAAGTTGAGGCTTTCACCGTGTGAAACTAACTTTGAGATAAACAAACTCCAATTTTTATACCAAATCTAAATCATCTGGACGGAAGCTGCATCACGCCATTTTCATGGTGATCATTAATTCCGATTTGGAATCTGTCTAGAATTTAAAGGATCCATTTTGACACGGTTTTTGACGGTTTCGACAGGTTTAAGCCGTTAAATTGTTCTTACTGTGAGTCTGGAGGTTAGTTAAACTTCTTCTAAATACTAATGCACGATTACAACGTCAAACTTAGGAATCATTTGCCGAGGTTATCAGATTTTGACCGTCATACCCATTTATTCGTTATACTTTGGGCCTTTCCCCACTAGCGGGCCAAACTAGAATTGTCCCTACAAAATTAAGGGACGAATTTTGTAGTGACAATTATTTTTCCGTCAGTTGCATCCGCATGAAAGATTTCAAGGGATTTATTGTCAATAACTGTTCCTCTGCGTGTGTGATGCCTCTGTCTGCTACAATCAACAAATAAAGTTTTTGTAATTACAGCGCGTCAAATAACTACCTAATTGCTATTGTTATAACTTCTCTCAAATAAGGGATTTACCAAAGCTTTAAGAACTGTAGGGAGAGAATCATGTCTGCATTATGGGACGCTTCTTGTAAGAGTTTTTTGAAAATTATTTGAAACATAATTAAGAAATCATTCATTTTTGCGTTTGCGTTACTATGAAGGAGAATTTCGCCCGCTTTTCATGTTTCGGAAGAAAGTCAGCTGTAAGCAATCTATTTTTAAATTAAAGCTGAGCTACAAAATAAAACTTACATTGCCTCAAGGAAACCGAACGTACCTGTACATTTGAAACCATTTCCAGTGTAAGTAGGATTACAAAGACAGTTGTATGAGCCCTTAGTATTAATGCAATAGGCATTCGGATGACATTTATTTAATTTAACGGCATGAGCTCCACTGCATTCGTCAGTGTCTAAGAGAGAGATTATTATTTGAAATGTCAAATAAAAAAATGTGTCACTATCGCGATCATATTAAGGGTTACTCTTTGTGGCCGATATAGGACATGCAAAGAAAAGACGACGGTCTCGTTTACGTTTAAAGGAACCAAAGGAAAACATCACGTACCTGTACAACTGAGTCCATTTCCAGTATATCCAGCGTGACAAGTACAAACATACGATCCTTCGGTATTTATGCAGATCACATTCACGTGGCAAGGTTGGTTTCTTTTACATTCGTTCATGTCTGGAAAACCATAAATAAGGTTTACATTTTATCGTTTTGCTTCCATGCATACAAAAGGGCGTATGACATGCAAAAATATTAAGAATTGTATTTTCTGACGCTTGTAGGATAATTGGATGTGGCTAACAAACGCAGAATTGTCACCTGAAAATTAGCTGTTTGAAAGGCTCATCTTTTGTACCTTAACATGATTGTCTGTTTCTCGTTTATCCTTCTTTACCGGTACAACCATGAGAACTAGTGAGAATAAATAACTGTTGTATGTGTTTTTCATAACAATTATTACAGAGGAGAGTTGCCACACAATTCACGATTAAATGAGCGATGTGGTGATCCAGGGACAAAGACCATGGCTTACTATTCCTGCGTTGTCGCTAAAACTATTTCTATATACCTTGGCACGATTTTCCATCTCCAATGTATCCTTCCTTACAGATGCAGTTGTGAGAGCCATTCGTGTTTTCGCAGTTTGCATTCACATCACACGAATGGCTTCCATTGTTACATTCATCGATATCTTGAAAGAGTAAGCAGAGCAATGAAGAGTTACAACGCTGAAGCTGATGACCATGATGATGGTGATGATTGATGGTAATCATAGTAATGTTAAATGTGGCGATGAAGATGATAACGGTGATGTTGTGAGATGATAATGTGATAGAAATGATTTCAAAGAAAAAATGCTTAGTTTACGTCACATACATGTCATAAACCTGCTGATTATCATTGCACTGAGAAATATTGGCACAGCATATTTTTACATGAGTCTGTTTGGCAGAATTACTTCCTCCGATGTAAATGCTAGAAGTCACTAATCTAAATGAATAGCTGCATTCGTCAATACATCAGTTATATCATTACTACTTCATTTCTGTAATCGTTATTTTGAGACGATTAACAGAAAAAAAATAGCTAAAACAGCTACTGGAAGCAAAACAAATCAGGTCATTTTTGAAGATGAAGGTATAAGTACCTGAACAAGAGTGTCCATCACCAGCGTATCCAGCTTTACATTTGCATTTGTAAGAAACTTCCGTGTTAGTGCAGTTTGCATTCACATCGCGGTCACTGATGTCAGATTTACATTCATCCATATCTAGAAATTGCAAAAGAAGAGAAAATATAAGAAAGTAATCCAGACAAAAATTCATACTGACTAAACAAACGATAATGCTAATAATATAAAAAAACTAATATTGTTACGTTGACGTCATAATCTTTATCGTAGTACAGTATGGGAACTTGATAAGTAAAAGATTAGCTGAGGAAGTGAACGCACGTGTTTGGATATTCTCCTGAGAACTAGAGCTGCAAATGTCGGTATGTAAAATCATTTTATATCCTTTCGCTTTTCAATATCTTATTACGTTTCTTAGCAAACCGAATCAGTTAGTGTTTTGTGATTTATTTTCAGTTGACCTTTTGCTTTATATGAAACACAAGTATATAAAGTAAATAAATGCGACAACTGGCAAGGGTTTGTTGAGTATATCCACAGCATTCGCCAACATAACTTCGTAACTTAACTCGAAGAGAACTGATAAGACCTACCCCCCGGTAATCATATCACAGTCAATCAAAGCTGCTTTCCCAGTACCAGTCGGATCCAGCCAAAAGTTGCCGCTTATACTTTCGTTTCCTTCACTCGCCTTTATTTCGTGACTGGAAAGCGCCGGTAATTCAGGTATAGAACCCAAGGGAGCTGCAGTAAAATACGTTCTCAGTTTTTCTTTTCTCATCATCATTTCTTGTAAATGGAAAGGAACGCGGTTAGCTCAGGATGGAGAAAATCTAAAGAAACAAAAAATCACATTGGTATATAGTCTTCTGATTTCTTACCTCTGCCGTTCAATCTTCGAATGTAAAACCACGTGGGCGCTAAAAGGAAATTCTCTGGCCTCGCCTCCTTGGTGCGGTTATTTAGTTCACATATTTGGTATTTTTTATTGTAGTAATAGCTTTGGCAGGTGATCTCTTGTCCGCATTTGACATCGCAGAGGTGAGGAGCTGCCACTGACCATCGTTTGAAGACAAAGCGCTTGAGAGCCATTCCTTGTATGTTTACTTCTGTCTTGCATTGTATCTTTTCCTCTGTCCTGCATTGGTCATTAGCTGTGACAAACGCCATGGCAGAAGCGAAGAGGAAGAATCTTAAATTGCGTCACATCCAATACATAATTATATACTTGTATTGAATCTGCAAATATGAAGGATAGAACCCTAAAATAAGATGTTCTTGCGTAATGACAGTCTATTTTGAGGGGGAAAAATTAATTTCTCTCAACAAAGCTGGTGCCGGACTACCAGCTGAAGATTTAGTAATCATAATACATGCACATTAATATGCTACCCGAAAGTTAGCGAAAACACTCCATATTGACATTGTTAGTACACAATTTACATGATGCTTGATAGGGTGTCAATTAAAATGGCAAGGAAGCATTTTAAGCACAATTTTAGTTGCGGTAGATTATATGAGTTTTGAAGATAGACGCATTTTTAAATTTTGTGGAACTATGATTGTAATACGCTGATCTGGTGTTACTGGCATAGAGGAAAAAAATAGATAGGCAGCAGATAAGATGGCTTTACCAAATTGGCTAAAAGGGTAAGATAGATTCAAACAGTAAGGCCCGACCTCAAATGAATTATCCTCTTCTACTTGCTCGAAAAATGAATTATATTTAAAGGAAATCCTCTTCCGATTGCAACAAATTCAAAGTTTTTGGCCAACTTGAAACATTAGCCACGGCGGCTGTATGTATTGGCAGATTATGAGGTAAACAGAGGAATGTACGACGTACTAGAATTAAAATGTAGAGGTTTAGATAGTATACCCGAAGTAGGAAGGAAACTATTTATTAAAACTAATGATATGGTCTATTTCAAAGCAGCTTTAGTGAGTTTGCCGACAACAATTTACCAAACCCTAACTCCAGAGTTGAGAAAAACTTATCCTATGTAATTCTAAATCAAAGAAATATAGGAGATTTTTATTGAAAAGAAATTTTCCTGGTAGTGTATTAACTATGATTGTTTCTTACCTTCTCAGGATGCTTAAAATCGCCTAACTGCTACGGAATTAAAAATGCTCTCTTTCATCACAGTGTGGTAGCTATGGTTACGATACTTCAAGTTGGATCCAAGCCAAATAAAAGTAAATACTAAAAACATTTTATTTTTTCCACTTTAAGCTCCTCGCGCAGGGAGTTAAACGGAAGGGATAATGGCTGGAAAAAATTTAACAAAATAAGAATCAAATTTTCGAGCAATATCGCAGCGATGACAAGTTTCTTTTTTTTTCTTAAAAAAATAAACATGTCACGATTTGTTTTCTTTTTAAGTTCCAAATCATTAAAATCGCGTGCATTACAACTAATCGGTCTAAATTAGCTTTTAGACCTATTTTAATTATGTATTCCTCAAATTTTCTCATAATTCAATGTTTACCCAAGGAAGGTAAATAAACCGTGTCCGTAAGATTATTAATAGTAAAACTTATAAAGAAAGAACGACTGGCTACGGAAAAATCAAGTCAGCCTTGAGGAACGCTATTTCTTTCGTTTAATTTTTCCACCGTTGTATAAATATAACCCTGATAACTTCCCTGTTCTGGTGGAAATCTTCGAACAAACATTCATTTTTTTTTTCAATGTAAACAAGACTGAATCATGTACGAACAACATAAAGACTTAGACGTACTGAACTTAGCAGCAAAAAAAAAGAGTTCAAATTCAAATTTTTATAACTAAACGCTGTACGCACATGAAAGTGTAAGCTTGTAATTAGTGTCAAGCTTACACTTTCATGTGCATACAGCGTTTAGTTATAAAAATTTGAATTTGAACTCTTTTTTTTGCTCCTAAGTTCAGTACGTCTAGTACATTTTTTTGTTGGTAATGACGCTACAAACATGAGAGGTTATTTTGCCATCCAAAATAAGTTGAGAAATATTTTTAATTATTGCATAATTAAATTTGTACCTTCTTGTTTTAAACACCGTTAGATTAACACGCAAGAGTCTTTTGCAAATAATGTCGTTTTTAACCTATTTTCGCGGTTCTCACTAAGGCCTCATCTTCGAAGTTAATTTTCTCATTCTTAAGGGAAAAACATGTGAAAATATTATCCAAGCTACAAGTGTAAGATGAGAATTTTTGTTGGCTTCACGACAGCAGGCGTTTAGCAAGATAATTTTTGCAGAATAAACAATGAATGAAAATCTCCTGCCTTCTTCGTTGTAAGATGATAGACATGAATAAACAGAAGCTCGCCGTCACTTTTTTTTTTTTTAAGAGTTACTCTTTCTTCCGAAAATTTTAAAATCATCTTTAACATAGTTCAAGTTCTCATAATGTGTGATTTGAAACTGAACAATAGCGAAGCGATTTTTGAACAAAATACTATTTGAAATGAATAAATCGAGAAAAAATTCACAGTATGGTTCAAAATTCTCATTCTAACAGTCTCACTTTCACTTGTTCTGGATTGCTTTCTTCTTCCGTGGGGTTTGCCAAATATTTTCGAAATTGCTCAGATTCTCTTGAAGTGTTATCTGCTACCAAACAGCAGCAGAGCAATTTTGAACAAAGTAGCACTTGAAATGAATAATTCGGGGTAGAATGGTATGGTCCTGACTTGTCTTGTCCTGAAGTCTCTTTTGCTTAAATTGGTTTGGTTTACGAAATTTGAAACTCTAAAAGAACTTTAGTGCTAATGCACAGATGAGGTTTTTTTGACAGTCGTTCTAATCTTGTTCTGCGTCAGAGGCTAAGAGACATGAAATAAAATAAATCTTCCATCCCGCCATCCTGCCGCAGTGAACATGTGAACACTTGTAACAAATACAGAGAAAACTTGACGTACCACGGAGTCATTTAAGCCTGTCAATCCCAACTTACAGTGGAGCATTTATTAAGCCCGTTTCTAACGCAAATTGATACTCTCTTATGTCTCTGAGGTCGGTAAATCTTAACTTGAGCCTAATTATGATCCCATCGATACCCGTCCTATCCCTTATCCCGCCTTCAAAACCAATTGCGTATTAGCCTCATAACCCTTTAAATCCCATGAGTGACCAAGCCAGAACTTCTCTTTACAATATCAATACAATATCACGCAGGTGAGTGATGGGAACAAAGAAAAATATCAATTATGGGATTATCAGTTGATCCAACGCCAAATTCTTGGAACTAACATCTTCAGAATTATATGGAAGTAGGTAAGGAGAGTTACTAACGAGATCTTGGTAGTAAAAGGGTTGATATCACAATGATCTCTCACTTCATAACCAGAGTTGAGTGAACCAATAAGAACACTAGAAGTCCAATATACGGAGTTGAAAATTTAATAACATTTGTGACCCTCCACGGGATTTATTCATTCACATATTTAGATATTTTTATCACAAAAACACTTTTAGAGGTGAAAAGTTTTCAGATTTTCTGTGTTCCTGAACATCCTTAACTCGCCTGAATAGCAACTTAAAATTTCAACGTCAACTGCCCTACTGAAATGAATGACGGTCTTTCCAACCACATTGAACTAAGATCCCCTTCCCTCTGAGCCGAGTCTAACTGATAACGACCATAACTAATTAAATGGTTTCTTCTTTTCTCAAGTTTTCTCCTCCACGAGACATAGGTATATTAGATGAATTGTTTATAAATTTTTGTACATGAATCCAAGTTTTGTCGAATTATCAAAAATTTATCAATTGTCCTCGAAGGGTTCTTTTCTAGGCCCTAATGTTTTTTAAGTAATAGAACAACGACGGAATTTTGTATTTACAGCTCCTCAGCTCAAATGGATACTACTCCATTAAAAAGAAAGTATTGAATAATTGCCGTGTGAAAGCTCTTAGCAAGTTCGCCCTTATCAAGACCAGTTGGCGAGCGATAGAACAATATCTTTGATTGTACTTTTGTTTATAAGCAAACATCATGCTAAGATATAAGGATAAATAAAAGAAGTAACAATGAAAGGTACTAACAAAGGCTATAGAAAATTTCAGCGTTGGACCGCACTGAAAACTATGTTAACCTACTTTTCGATAGTTTATACTGCGAGAATGACACGTCTGTCTACTGAAATAATTATTTATCATAGGAAATATGATTTTTAATGATAGCATTAACAAGACGATACCAGCGCAAATATTTACCAAAATGTTAAAGATCATGACGCCAAATCCTCGAAATACGTCGATTATGAATCCTATTATTACATAAATTTCTCTCAGCATATTTAGTCTGTGCTACAGAAGCGCGACGCACAACTCGGCGGCTGAAAAAGTTTGTAGATATAGTAGGATGAGCAGTTCTTCACATAAATGTGGATTATGGTCTTGCAATAAAAAGAATGGCCACTAAAGCAGACCTTCCTGCGTACTTCACCATCTTTCACTGTAGGATGAGCACCATCCAACCAGCCTGACCATTTGGTACCACACCTGTATGCTGGCACGCGTGTTGTTGGCATTTTTGTTCCTGCAGCTCCCACAAAACGATACCATCCTAAAGGGAGTGGGTAGTCACACAACTCTGAATCGGTAGGTGTTGCGTAACTTATCTTTCTATTGGCATCACTCAAGTTTTTATAATGATAGCAAGGATCGGCTACAAAGTGAAATAATAATTGCAACAGGACTTTGGTTATTAACATCAATGGTTCGAGATCTTTTCTAACGTGTTATAGCTCTGGCAGCTTGTCAATCAGTGGTGAAACTTGTACTTAAGAAGACAAACGATTTTATATCAATTAAGGGGCCAAGTAGTACATGCGTAGGATATTATCAATCGAAGAAGCTTAAACAGTGATATTAAAGATCCAAATAAATTCAAAAGGATCCGAATTTGAGCTCCTTCCTTCTCAGACAGGGCATTAAAGGACAGCTCTAGGCAGACCTAAGGCACAGCCAGTATCGTTTACATATGACAAACTAATAATATGGCCGACAGTGGCCATCTCAGAGATTCGAGCAAGAGTATTCTAAATATAATAGCAAAAAGATTAAATTCACCTGTGCAGTTTTGACCATTTCCATTAAATCCAGGCTGGCATTCACACACAAAGGATCCGTTGGTGTTCGTGCAGGTAGCATTCACGTGACAAGAGTGATTTCCTTTACATTCGTCAATATCTGAGAAACCATATATATAATATATATATGCACTTTATCATGTTTGTCACTTTAAAATGGGCGGACTCTCAGTCGTGTAATTTATTTGGTTATTATATATGAGAAAACAAATTTATTTCTCTATTTTTGTTTCACGAATTAGACATTTGAAACGTATATTTCATCAGGAATATTTCAATTTATCAAGCTGACGGCTCTGGAAAACTGGCTTTTCCTGTAGCTCCTACAAAACGATACCATCCCCGGGGAGTAAGTCGTCACAAAACACTAGACCAAATTCATGCTGTGTACCGTAACTACTCTTTCTATTGGCATCACCCAGGTTTTAATAATTATAACATGGGTCGGCTATTAAATTTAATGGACATTACAAAAAGACTATAGTATTAAAGATAACATATTTTTGTTAACATTTTTCCAGTCAATCAGTCGGACAACAAGCAGAAAGGACTAAAATGAAATGATAGCATTGTAAAGAGTTTCGTAAAAAATGTTGTGGTTATTCACCGTGGTGAATGACAATAAAAGCTAAGTTTTTTCGTTTGTCTCACGCGTGTAGTGATAAGGGTCACGCGCAGAGTCAAAGAAGCAATTCATATATGACTTCACCCTAACAACATCAACAGGGATAGTGGAATAGAAATTCCAGAAGCGTGGATGCCCACGATCAAAAAACACAACAACAGGAGAGCCGTGCGACAGCGGACCGCCGAGGGAGCAAATCACTGAGTGAAACAGCAGGGATCGAAATGCACCAATCAGAGCTGTTGAAAAATAACTTATCACAGCAGAGCATCATGTCTTATAAGATCACGTATGACCAGTCGACCTCATCGCCTGAAGAAGGTATCCGGTTAGATCGCTCCATGGTTAGATCGCTCCAAGTCAGATCGCTCCATACCGAAGTCACATCGCTCCTCTCGAAAGTTAGTTCGCTCCATCAAATAAGTTACTTCGCTCCATACATAAGTTACTTCGCTCCATGTAGAAACCTAATACACTAACTTACTTCTGATCTTTATAGTTTATAGTTGATGATGTGTATTGCGTCTTGCGATCGAGTCGCTGATCGACGTATTCGCTAACTTGAGGCCACCAAAGCGAATTACCGATGTTGTAACAAGTGTTTCAGTGTGTAATGAACGTAGAAAACTAATAAACTAACTTACTTCTGATCTTTGTAGTTTATAGTTGATGATGTTGCTTGCGATCAAGTTGCTGAAATATAAAGTGATTCGAGTGAGTGAAACGAGTTTAATCCACGATGTCTTCCGAGTGTATCTCTTGTCAGAAACTTGTCCGAGCGCGTCAACAAGGACTTCAATGCCACGGCTGCAACAGGTGGCAACATCGCGTCTGTGGAACTGGAATCAGCTTAGCTGATTATCGTGAAGCCCTCCTGACTGATTCACCTATCGACTGGCGCTGCGCAGAGTGTATGTCAGAGTCCCTCCTCCCCGTGGCGGAAAGCACTCCTGTGGACTTCGTCGCCAACTCCGTCCTCGAGTCAGACATCGACGAGCCTACTGCTGACGAGCCAGTTCCGGATTCCGTGGCCGCTGATTCTTCCGATTCTGACGTCCTCGCAGACGTCGGCGCAGCAGTCTCAGCCACTATCTCACCCAAAGTCAAAGCGATCGCCGCCGAGAACATCTTCCGACCAGCGTCGAGTATCGACGAGGAGATACTTCTACAAGAGCTGACTGATGCTCCCTGCCCGAGTCTACCCAAACCTGAATACATCGCCAGGACTGCCAACCGGTTCCACCAACGCCTGAGGCCAAAAGACCCAACAGACTTAGCCTTCGGGTTAGAGCACGACCACCTCCCGGCTGGCTTCTTCCGCGCCGATGTTCAAGTACATGGCCGTCGCCACTTGATGTTTGCCACAGAACAGCAACTACAGTACCTCGCCCGAGCAAAGAACTGGTACGTGGACGGCACCTTCAAACTCTGCAGACCTCCCTTCACCCAGCTCCTCACCGTGAACGCCTTCGTAAAACAGGATGATCACGCCAAGCAGGTGCCCCTCCTGTTCGTCGTAATGTCGGGGAAGAACAAGAAGGACTACCGAAAGGTCTTCAAACAGCTGCTCGAGATACTTCCAACAGCGCCTGCAGTGAAGCGGATAACCCTCGACTTCGAGAAACTGAGAAACCGGTTTCCTGATGTCAAGCTGCAGGGATGCGCATTCCACTGGACGCAAGCTCTGTGGAAAAAGGTAAGATGATAACTAACTTTAATTTAGTGATTTTTCGTAAATTTTGGAAAACACATTTTAGCGACATGTTACTAATTTAGCGATTTTGAAAATTCCGTATTTTGCGATTTCCAATTCAAAACATTAAATTCGGATAAGAACATTAATTTGCTAAAATCATATATGCCCTTTAACTGATACAACTTTTATGGGATTAAAATAAGTTAAAACTTAAAAAAAAACTGTCATGATGTTTTAATAACACACAACACAACACACTGTAACACACACTTGCTTATATTCTGTTTAATTTTTCTTTGCTAGGTTCAGGCGCTTGGGCTGACAAACAGTTATTACAACGACAGAGGCACCTACACTTACATCCGTAAGATGATGGCACTTCCGTTCCTGCTCGAGGGAGAGATCCTGACCGAGTTTCAGCGTCTTCAACGCCAGGCAGAGTCCCCGGCCTTAGCAGAGTTCGCCGAGTATGTCAACAGTACCTGGATCAGCAACGCGACATGGAGCCCTGCCGACTGGACAGTCTTCAAACAAGCAGTACGAACGAACAACGACCTCGAAGGCTGGCACCACGGGATCAACCGTCAAGCGGCTTGCAAGTCACAACTCCCACTTTACGTCCTGATCAAGCTGCTACACCAGGAGGCCCAGCTGACAGCTATCCAGATCCGTTTGGTATCAGAGAAAAAACTTCGAAGGATCCAGCGCCGCAAATACAGAGACCTGCAGGCAAAAATCTTCGATCTCTGGGAGCAATATGACAACAACGAGAGGTCCGCCAGACAGCTACTGAAAGCCTGTTCTTTCCTGAACGGTCCTGTTTAAAGAGCAGCAGACACCACAACCATCACAAACAAAAGGCTCCTTTAGGAGCCACCAAATAAAATAAAAGAAATGACCAACAATGAATATGATTTATAAATATTGCTTTCAAAGAATCGCCAATTTTAAACGTTGTCAAATCCAGCCGTGAGTGAGACTGGGTTCGACTCCGGTTAAAAATGGCGAGTCTTTAGTCGCGTTACAATACTCTTTCTTTTCTTTTCCCTTATCCTTCTGTCTTTTATCAACCTTCCACGTTAGTTTTCTTCATCGAGCGAAGTAACTTATGTATGGAGCGAAGTAACTTATGTATGGAGCGAAGTAACTTATGTATGGGGCGAAGTAACTTATTTGATGGAGCGAACTAACTTTCGAGTGGAGCGATCTAACTTCGGTATGGAGCGATCTGACTTGGAGCGATCTAACCATGGAGCGATCTAACCGTAATTCCTGAAGAAGACTAGCATGCAGCCGGTATCAGTATGCAGCCGAAACGTCGCGATCTACATCACACGTGACTACATCGTGAGACAAACGAAAAAAACTTAGCTTTTATTGTAAAGAGTTGTTTCCTCTTGCTTTGATCGCCCATCAAAGCCTGAGTTGTTTGTACCTCAACTGGATTTCCCTTTTTTTAAATTTTTTTATTATATTTTAGCATTTCTCGTGAATCTGATTAGTGAAATAATTTGGTTTCATCAACTGAGTTGATAATGTAAATTGGCCACCGTAAAGAATTACGAAGCTGACGTTTCGAGCGTTAGCTTTAATCAATCAATCAATCAATCAATCAATCAAAGTTTATTGTCTAACGTGGAGCATGGTTGATGATAGGGAGACATTTACAGCCATAAGTTTTTTGAGTCTCCTAAGGGCATCAATCTTGGCATAGACTTTTTTTTATGACACTCTGTATGTGATCAGCAAATGTTAACTTGTCGTCAATTATGACCCCAAGGATTTTGAGTGAGTTAGATAATTCGACTCTAGAGTCACCAATGATAAATTGAGGGTCGTAAGCAATATCTCCAATCATCATAGCTTGGGACTTTATGTTGTTGACCATAAGATAATTACGAGAAAGCCAACACAGGAAGATGTCAATATCATGGTTCAGGGAGATTTCCAAGAAAGTGATATCGTGATGAGATCGATAAGTTGTCGTATCATCGGCATATAGACGCAAGGAAGCGATCTGGCCAGCAAAGTTTAAGTCATTCATATATATATTAAAAAATAAGGGACCGAGAAGACTACCGTGAGGCACACCACATTGAACGGGAAGCCAATCAGAGAGTTTGCAATTATATTTAACTCTTTGCTGTCGCTCGGTCAAGTATGACTGTACGAATCTGAGGGCATCATCATTCAAACCATAAGCACGCAACTTGGCTAGGAGTAGGTTGTGACACACAGAGTCAAATGCTTTGGAAAGGTCAATGGCAATAGTTCCAGTGACTTTCTTAGAATCCAGGGCTAGTCTCCAGTCGTCAACCATTTTTAGAAGAGCAGTGCAACATGAGTGCCCACTTAAGAATCCAGACATATTGAGAGAGAAGTGGGTCTTGAAAGTATCATAACTTTCTCAAGAATCTTGGGAATGGACGACAAGATACTGATTGGTCTGTAGTTTTCCTATCATCCTTTTTATAGACTGGAGTAACATTACTTAATTTCCATTCCTGTGGCCACGTTGAGTTAGTAAGGCTGTAATTAAGGAGCTTAGTCAGAGGCCCTTTGATTGTTGATGCAGATAGTTTAAGAATCATGGGAGAGATATTGTCAGGTCCACAAGACTTGTTTGTTTTAAGGCCAGTGAGCAATTTACCAATGTATTCCGTACTGACAGGTTGAAATGAAAAACCAAGATTGAAATTGCGCGACGAGATTGAAGTCACACCTAGATGATGTTCGAAATCTTCAACAGACTTAGTCAAAACAGCTCGATCAAGAACAGGTGAAGAGAAGTGTTCATTGAAAAGATTGGATGGATCACTTACAACTGCACCCCTATCCATTATGCATGTGCCATCGCTGTTATCTTGTCCAGAGGACGGTAGAAGAGGCTTTACCCGCTTCCAAAAACCTCCAGGAGTTGTTGTGTTAGCCGAAGAGTCCAAAAAGAACCGTTTAATAGATATTCGCTTAAGTTTAGTAACTAAGTTTCTTTGTACTCTATAACTTTCCCAAGTTTCGTCATTCCGACTAAGGCGATATTTGCGGTATAGTTTGTTTCTCAGTCGAATTGCTCTTTTTATTTGGACATTGATCCACGGAAGTTGGTTTACGTGAACCCTTTTTTTCACAATAGGCGCATGTTTGTCTATTATGTCTTTGTAGAGCTTTGACCAGTGGTTCCAGACATCATTAATATCGTCATAAACAAAGGCACTGTCCCATGGAGCAGTAGATAAATCACAACAAAAAGAGGCTTCATTAAATTTCTTCATACTTCTGGACTCAATCGTTTGCACTTTCGATTTCGGTAGGCGTAGTTTTCTCACAATGTATACAAGATCTTGATCACTTATTCCAAGTTTCAGCGTGCCACTCTTTGTCCATCGCTCAGTTCGATTAACTAGGATCACATCAATTAGGGTTTCACTTGTGTTAGTAACCCTTGTTGGTTCAGTTATTGTATTTGAGAGACAATAGCGATCGCAGAAATCAGCCAAAGGATTATTCGTATTATGCAAATTTCCATCAACATAGTCCATCATATCAATATTAAAATCTCCAATAAATACAATTTCATTCCTGATTTTTAGCATGTTTTCTGCAGCAGTAGAACAGGCAGAGATCAGTGACTTTACACTTACTTGGAGAGCGATAATAGGCACAAACGAAAAACCATGTATTTGTATTCCCCTTTAAGTCGAGGCAAATAGATTCTACACCAGTTGGTTCAAGCTTGAGTTGTCTTCTCGCAGTTAAAGAATTGTGAATATAAGCTAATAGACCACCGGCACCCCTTTTTCTATCATTCCTGATGACACGGTAATGTGGGTTGGATAATAACTTTGTGGAAACAGACTTGTCAATCTTCGTTTCAGAGATGAAGAGAATGTCAAAACGGCATTCGTTTAGTAGATCCAAAATCTCATCTATTTTGCCAATGATACTGTTTGTGTTAAGGTGGCCAATCGAGAGATTTTTCTTGTAATAGCCTTTAATATTTTCTTTATACCATTCGACTGGAGTGGGCGATAAAGAAGAAAGCAAACTAGAGTCCCCTTCTTCTCCTTCAAGAACGCCAAAATGAGAATCTTGTGAGCTGTCGTTGAGAAATGGTAATGATGCGAAAGCACATCGATTACAAGTCCACGAAACGGGCGATGAAGCAGAGAAAGTTCGAAAATCAGCCATAGAGTTTGAACATTTAACATGCATCATATCGTGACATATCCAACAGATAAAGCGTTTATGATTTTTTACAACTGCTTTCTCACAAACAGGACACGTTGGAGCAGTAGACCTTGCTTGCTTTCGTTTACTCACAGGTCCTGGATTTACATCGACATCACCGCAAATGATTAACAGCTCCGGTCGAAAAATCGCATTCGAATTGGAGTAATACGCTACAGGCCTAAAAAAAGCCCTTGCGACGAAATTGTGTACAGGTATTAATGCAACGTCGGCAACACGATAATGAACCAAGATGGCGGCTGGCCAATTTGCTAATGCTTGTCGAAGAGTTGATATCTGTCTAGTCAGCCAGAGTTCCTAGCGTTGCAGATGGTGCAAGATCATGACTTGGTGTGATTAAAAGACATCTGCAATGCGATATTACAAGTATCACACAGATAATATTAGGAAACTTGATAACTTTCCGGGAACTATTTGAGAAACGTCTGACCGCCATGACTCCTGTACCGGTCTACCTTTAAAGCTTTAAAACTATTTACGGTGGCCAATTTACGTTATCAACTTTGTTTATAATACTGAATTACTCTGTTATACTCTCCCACCGACGCAGCACCACAGTTTCTTTAAAACCTTACCCCCTTTATTCATCACTTTTCCTATCAGTTTACTGGCGAGATAACCCACGTGGGTTGTTGAGAGAACACCAGAAAAGTTTGTAATTCCGAGCTGGAGGTCATTAATTTTCTTTTTTTTTCGAATTGTTTCCCAACATCTGGAAACGGTTACTACGCTGGTAAACCGATAGAAAGTGCCGTCGGTTACTATATAACATAAAATTCAATTTTCCATGGATTTACGAGTGCAATCAACGATTGCTTTTTGACCAATCAGGGCACTCGTAGTATCTTGATTATTTAAACCTGATGATAATAATTTTTAACTTCTTCACTCAAATATATCTTGAGCGTCGACGAAAACGTAGCTCCATGGAGAATCCCTTACATATCCATCCTGTGCACAGGGTTCAGAGCCAAACGAGCGATTTTATATTCCTGCTTTTTTTCAAGCATCGTTATAAAGTGAAATTTAAAAAAGAATAACAATGCATCAGTCACCAAAATTGTTCATTTAAAAGTCAGGAACATTACCTAAGAGGTCCTTAGCATTAAGATTACTTCCCACCTTCGCAAACTATGTAAATGTAGTTTATGATGAAAATAGAATTTAAGTGACTTTTCTTTTTGGGAATTGTCAGGAGCCGGTAAGGTGTGAAACGACTGAAGGTTCTTCTATTGAATTTATCGGGTATGGGATGCCGCAGCACGAGCTAATTGGCAGCACAGTCTCATTCGCAAGGCATCAATCGACAAAAGTGTCTCAGTTTTCTTCGATATTCTGATTGATTGTCTGAATATCGGAATCTTAAGTTGAAGTAGCTAAAAATATGCGAGAAGTGTTGCGTAAATGGGCGCCACGGGAGAAATATTTCAAATATTTCAAATATCAAAATTTCCCGACACACTTTCGTTTGTCATTATTCCTAGGATGTTTTGGAGAAATTTGTCAAAAATCGGTTTAATCTACACATTCTATAAATTCGCTCAAAGTGGTTGTATTCCTCCCAAACTCGAGTGTGAGATTTTAGCTCATAAGGGTTTGCAAACAACTTGCCCCAAGCCAGGAGATTATCTCGCCTCCTAGAACCGCAGACCAATAGGACAACGGGACCTCCTAGCGTCACTGACTATGCAACAAGATTTCCCGGGACAAGAAACCCATTGCAGACACGTTTTTTTTTTATCTCGATCGCTAAGCGAAGCGTTAAAGAGGACGAAAAATCGATGAGCAAAGTTGCCAAAGGTAAAGAAAAAACCCGCGACAAAAATGGAAAAACTGCAAAATGTGCTGAGGAGCAAGACAAAGAATCGACATACAGCTTTCAAAATTGCGATTCGAGGCAAGTGTTTTGCATACAAATGTTTTTGCATCAAGGATGGTACTTGCATAAAGAAAGGGAAACCTCGTTTTTTATGACGAAAAATGACGAAATTAAGTGTACATGAACATGAGTGTCCATCGCCAGTGTATCCCACTTTACAAGTGCATTTGTAAGAAACGTACGTCTTAGTGCAGTTTGCATTCACATCGCAGTCACTGATGTTATATTTACATTCATCCATATCTAGAAATTAGAATAAAGGCAAAGAATAAAGTAAAAGGAAGTGAATAGGGTATCCACGCTAGAACTGATATTAACCAAACAAATATTAGTGATAAAAATAAAAATAACATTAATATAATTTGTGGTATAAAATTAAACTCGTAAAAAAAATAAGACCTACCCCTGCTAGCCATATCACAGTTAATCAATATTGCCTTCCCAGTTCCTGCTGGATCCAGCCAGTACTTGCCGCTGATGGTGTTTTTACCTTCACTCGCCTTTATTTCGAGACAGGATATCGCCGGTAACTCAGGAATAGAACCCAAAGGAGCTGCAGTAAAAACAAAAGTTTTGTTTTCGTCCTATTCTTATTTTTCAATCATAGATGAGAGGGAACAAGGTTGGCTAAGCTAAGAAAATCTAGAGAAACAAAAATCAGCGAGACACATAGACTTCTGACTTCTTACCTCTGCCGTTCAATCGCCTGATGTAAAACCACGAGGGGGCTGAAAGGAAATTCTCTGGTCTCGCCTCCTTGGTGCGGTTACTTAGTTCACATATTTGGTATTTTCGATTGTAGTTATAACTTTGGCACGCGATCTCTTGTCCACATTTGACATCGCAAAGGTGAGGAGCCGCCACTGACCATCTTTTGAAGACAGAGCGTTTGAGAGCCATTCCTTGTGTGTTTACTTCTGTCCTGCACTGTTCATTAGCTGTAATAGACTTTATGGCAGAGGCGAAGAGAAAGAATAAACAATACATGCTTCTTTGCTTGTGCAGAGGCTACAAAAAAAAAAAAAAAATGGAACCCCACGAGTAGATGTCATATTCTCAAAATAGGAAATCAACAAAATCTGGCTGCGTACCAGACGAAGACATAATAATCACAATACATGCGCTTTAAATTTAATTTTGCTAGAAAATTAGCGAAAACACACCATCATAAATACTGTGAGTACACAGTCTACATGATGGTTCAAAGAAGAATATTAAGCGCACCTTCATGTTGCGTTAGATTATCTTAGTTTTAAAAGCTGTTTTCAGCTTCTGTTTAATTATACTCATATCAAGTTACTTCCAAAAAGGAAACAAAGAAAGATAAAAGCGAAGTGGCTTTGCCAAATTGGTTGACTCAAATTTAGATACTGTTGTTTTACATGCAATTGGTATTGTATTTCCAGGCTTTGTTTTACTACTTATTTCCGTGACAAAAAAGGGGAGATCGATCCAGACATAAGGTTCGCCCTTCAACAAATAATCACCCCTTAAGAGAGGTTGTCAGTAATTTTCGAGAATCCGGCGACAGAAGCAAAAATTCAAATTTTTTTTTTATTCGCTCAAAAAGACCCTTTTGGTGAATAGTTTTCAAAAATAATATTCAAAAGTTCCAGCGAGTTTTTATTTTGGAGAAAAATAGGAAAGTTCGAAATCGGCCAAAACGTACCTAATTTGCATAATTTCTATTGGCTTTCAGTGCATTTTCACAACGCTCGCACTAGACAACGAAAAATTATCTTGGATTCATTTTTTCATAAGTTGTTTTTCATACCTTGGAGTAGCTTTGCAACTATATTTCATCTCCAACTGAACTTTCTTTCGTTTGTAACCACCCGCGTAAAGTACCCTATATTTTCTATTCCGTTTGTACGCTGAATTTTGCTATATTTCAGACGACCATAACATAGAGGGTATACAAATGTACATAAAATAAAATAGCTCTTTTCAACGAAAATCTCTTCATGTTTATCATGTAAAAGTATTATCTTTTGCCCGTGAAAAGCGAACGCACCAGACCAAAATATATAGCTTGCAGTTTCACGGAGTTAGGCCATTTTCCTTGCTGTACTCCCACTGCAAATCGTACGCTATTGGGACAAAACTCGACATGTTTGGTCTCTACTTCAGTTTTGATTCATTTAAATATATCGATTTTAACCTAAAAATTAACCTACCTTTATTGTTAAGTGAGCAAAGTTTTTGAGTTGACTTTTTTCGTGTGCTAAATAAACAAATTGCTGTTTACAAAGATACCAGCTCTGTCGACGTGTTTTTAGCTGAAATTGGCCCGTCGCATATATTGTTCTTTAATTTACAATCTATCCCACTGGCATAACTTTAGAGTAAATTACATGTAACTCTTAATGTTGTTGTAAATACGTGAGCGTGAGCTAAATAAAATCTTCGCACACTTAAAACATTCGAAACGTGTAGTTGTCGCATGAAAATACTCGCTTAATTATGCATGAACCTCGGTGTTTTGCTCGGTTGCTTTTGTAGATTTCTACCACTGTCACTGTAAAACAGTATGTTTGTGTAGTCCACCTGTTTAGATACATTTTCAAATCAACCGTAGGTTGGAATTCTGTTGGTTAAAATTGTCGAAGAAATCGAGAAAAATGGCATGTAGCACCGGGCAGTCGTGCTACATTCAATCTCACCGATTTCAACGAAACTTTGCAAGGTTAAAGGATCTACCCCAAAACTAAAAAAGACAAACTGGTTTCTGTTTTGGTTTTTTTTCCGGGGGGATATAGACCACCCCCTGGTTTTTCTTGATCCTTAGTTAATGTCCACCTCAAGTATCAGTCAATTTGATTGACGGCTTGTCAATCAACAGAGGCAAATAAACGACTGAGTTTTTAGACTTTTCGATTCATCCAAATATTTGACAACTTTGAAAAGTGAGATGCAAAGATCTTTATTATTTTTTTTTTAGCTTAATAGCAGCTGTACCCTCTCCTGCAGTCTTCGTCTAAATTTGCAAGGTCACTCCTTATCTTCTGCCTTGTTAGAGGCGGTTGTCTTACTAGTTTACTCCCCTGTCCAGCTCATGTTA